CCGTGAAACCATGATGCTCTCTACAAACTCTTTTTTGCTTCACTGAACTATGTAACTCCTTCTTAATTTGTCAATTATTTGTCTCCTGCTAACTATTTCTCGTTCGCTTACAGAACCTTACATTGTTGGCTCTAGAAATTGCTACGGGACTCTTGTTCTCATTGCGGTTTCAGTTTCAAAAAGAGCTACCTCGTTGATTACTGCTTTGGCCTGTCCACATTGCTCATATGGGCGGAGACAGTAAACCACTATGTCTCCCTAACCATCCCTCTCTCCATCACCGCAGGAATGGAACAGTTGCTGATTGTCTCCGCCCATATGGTAAGCGCGGGCTGCGCTTTTAGGGATCCGTTGGTGAAGTGCTGTAGAAGCTAATTTATTCATTTCTTGTGTAGTTTATCGTAATAAATGAGGCGTTCATACTTCGCACTCGAGCGGTTTGTCTAGGACTGGACTCCAATTTACCGCCAATGGTTGAATTGGTGCGACAATCGAATGAACATTTATCCGGAATGTAATCAAATTGGCAGTCTCAGCAGTCCAATCGTTAGCGGTGGAGCGCGGTTAGTCGGTGGCAATCGCGCGATTCTTAGGTCGTGTGGTAGAATCGCTCGAGCCGCTAAGTATAAACGTCACTTAATGGATGTCCCGTTGAACGCAAAAAGATCGGAAATTCTCAATCGCTTCCGAAGAAATCCAATTTGTTCAGGGTCGAACTACTTTCAAACTAGGTGGCAAGGCAGACAGCCGGTAAAACGTTGAATTACTTACCATCTTCTCGTTCAGCAAAATTGTGCGCGTTTCCTTTGGTGAGCGTCTCCGGATACTGTATGTTCGCAGCGTCGGCACGCCATTTTGCACTACGTCGGAAGAATTCCTATAAGAGATATTGTTGTATGAATTGAAGCCGTTTTACTGTTAAGTTCAGACAGAGCTGAACAAATTATCTTATCTTATCTTGTTGCCCCTCCCCGGTTATTGGCTAGCCTTGAAATTCGGCTTGCTACGAGATACGCCCGCCCTAACCGATAGTAATGCTCGCACGCTGAATCTTCTGTGATCAATGACTACGCGGCCACTAACCTTCCTGGAATTTCTGATCCTAGGCTATTTATTGATTTTTGAGGCCTTACCTCACTTCCCATTTCTTTGAATTCCGCGTACAAAATATCCATATATTTCAGGCACTGAGTAAATGACGGCCGATTGCGAGGCGTTGCACTCCAGCACTGTCGCATCAGCATTTTCAGTCCATCTGGAGCTGAATCCGGGATCGGCAACGAGAGATTGCTGAAATACCGAAGGTCAGTTATGTGAGGTATATGACAAGACAATCGTAATATTCCGGGCGTGGCGAGCGACGCCGCGCAGGGTGGACGAGTCGTCCTGCCTCGTCGTTCGAGTTCAGGTGCTAAGCAAGGGGAAAACTATATCGGTCATCATGGAGCAGCTGCGTGACTTCAGTAGCGATGAGTTACTGTACACACTGCGGATTTGCCGCATGATACGCCGCGCGCGACGATAAATTGCGACTTGTCTTGACCGTCACCCCGAGTATATGAGTTCGCGACAAGTGTCAAGCTGGTTCTTACGCAATGGAGTTCGGTATAATGGATCCGCATGAAACTTCGATATTACTTTCACATTCAAGTTATTACTCGCAGTCGCTCATTGCGATTATTAATTTGGCATTCCTCACTTTGGTGTTTCTCCCCTGCTTGCTAAATAGTCTTAACATGTTAATGTTGTCGCTTCCTGTGCGAGTTGTTGTTATAGTTCTATTGATTTATTGGGGTCTTGCGGCAGATGAGCACACAGCGTGGCTTGCGCATTCCTACCCGATTAGCATTCGGCGCTAATGGGGAATGCAGCTACTGCCTGGGGAAAACGCGCGCGAATCAGCCATCTCCACGCTTTCTGACACCCACTCCGTCCGGAGTTGCGACGCACGCCAACTGTACGCCATCCTAGTACAACCTTCATAATTCTCCACTTTAGCTGAAGACACGTTACGCACGACCGGAGGTTACGCAAGAGGGTTGGTCGTGAGCCCGGTCTGCGTCCCGAGGATCAGCGCAATTGGGCACCCAAAATTTGAATGTAATGTAGCACTCACTTTGATCCGACTCCATAGATGATAGCCATTTGATTGATGTTCTTATATGGCTGCTCTCGTGTCACCAACTCCCATAGTACAACGCCGTAGGAGTAGACATCTACCTGAAATTGGAAAATATTGCTAAATGGGCGACTTTTATGAGCGTTATTCAAGATTGGGTATGGGGGGGCAGAGGAAAAACTGACCATGAGTGGAATCAAAAAGTTCGTACTGACTTTTCAACCAGGTCATCAAGGATAGATATATTGTCGCGTCAAGGAGAGGCAATCAGGTCGACCACTCAGGAGGCCACGATGCTCAACGGGGCGGAGCTTCCCGGACCAGGGCGGGTTCTCCAAATGTATCGCTCACGAATTTTCGTACTGTTTTGCGTCTAAACTGGCCCTTAAAAGTAACACCAGCAGCAGTAAGAACCACCTGGCTTAAGGGGTAGTGGGCGGAGTAGTTCGAAATGGGTGGAGCCTCCGAATGTGAATGTGGGGGCCCATGTGCTCAATATCGCAGCAGCAGTGCTATTCAATATATCTGTCAGCTGTTACGCTTATTATTTCTGACCACGTGTTACCGCGCCCCTAGCTCACCTTCTCACAGCATGGCTGCTTCTTGATCACTTCAGGTGCCATCCAGCTGACCGTTCCACAAAACGACATCACCGTGCTGTTCTGCTTCTTCTGCTGATGTGACGTGCCAAAATCGCAGATCTTCACCACACCCTCTTCGTCGAACAGGATACTGTACGAGAAGAAACGGTATGTTTGTTTTTCACGTCAAAATTGAAGCTGCGTTCATAGTCGGCGACCGGTAATCGCGCGACTGCTTAGGTCGCCCCATCACCGGCTGTCGACTATGGTCGCAGCCTGAATCGCGAACAAATTGAATTTTGCGCTATGAATCTGCGTTTTTTAGTTCTTTTTTCATATAAAATGTCAAAATATTCCCAAAAAGCATTGCGAACGTTGCCAAAAAGAATCCTGAAACAGTCAGGACTGATTATAGTGCATCGAATGGGTGCCGGATTTCATGGGACACTTACTTTGGGCTCTTTAAATCACGATGAATCACTTTGTTCTTGTGCAAATATTCCATTCCTTCAGCAATCTGTCTGCTCCACGAACACCATTCTTCCCATCCTAAAAAATGATGAATGCCGTAAATGCGTACTTTTTTCTCAATAGCCGTGCCGCATTTGCGTTTTCTCGCTCGATTTGGATAATGACACACGTTCAAGGAAACAATTTCTGATGCTAAAAGAGTTAGGAAGGAAGATGACGGTGGGCAAAACCAGTCCATACCCTTCGCTTGTCTGCGTCCTCTGGACGAGATGATGTTTCCCTCAGAGCCTTACTTCTCCGCTCGTCTGCGTTCTCTTAACGAGATGGTGTCCTCCCGGGGGTGCTAACTCCAAAGGCCATATTTTTTTGCCTAACATCGTTCAGCACGGACGACGATAAAATGGGCGTGGCCCAAACTCGCTGCCCCTTCTCAGTTCCCTGAGCCTTGAATACACGACATTATCAACTGTGCAGCATTTGCATATGCAGACTTCTAGAATCGTGCCCCCAATGTTCTTAGGGGCCCGAATGACCGTGTGGCAGTTGCATTCCTTCTCTCACATGGCAGCTGCGCTCTCTTGCGGTCGTCTTGACAAAGGAGTGCAGCAACTGCGCTACCCTTGCGGGTTTTCACGCTACAAGCGCGCCGCACCTCCTTCCTACGCTCCTATAACGCTCCCTAACCCCAAATGTCCCTTTTTCTAACCCTGTTCAGTATAACTTAGCGAAAAACTGTGCTGCGTGGAAGTCCCACCCAGCAGTCTCATTGCTCGCATTACAGATTTTTTCTGTTTTGAAATGAAAAAAAAATTGTGCATAACTAGCAACTCACCGATGACCCTGTCCGACTTCAGAATATCACCTAACTGACCGTTGGGACAGTATTCCATAACTAGACAATAGCATGGAGCTTGAGTACATACACCTCTAAAAATACAAAAAAAAATGTCAGTCATTGACTAGTTACCGAGAAATCGAAGATCGGTAATCGAGAAAGTTCTTAAACTCACATAAATTTTATGATATTTGGATGATTCAAATGACGTAGGTGTTTTATATCGGTTTCCTCTTTCAGTTTTACTTTTTTCACAGCCACCGTCTGACCGTTGAGGCAACCCCTGAAAATGGAAACGGTTCGTGTAACTGTAAAAAAGGCACCCGACTTGGAGGGGCCATTTGCATTTCTACTAGTACTTTTTATCAGTTCATGTTAATTAAAAGGTCTCACTTCGGTCAGACCAGTAATGGCCTCTCCTTTCGGAGGTTCGAAGGGTTCAACTCGCGCTGGTAATTTTTTTGGAGTGAAAATCACATATGTTCCATATGGTGCACCTCTAAAGACAGCAGATACCCTGGTTATACTGGTCACCAAAATTAACATAGCGATGCGAGCGTTGCGCCCACTTGGACGAGTTACTGGCATTCGTAGACATAATGAATCCATCTGTCTTTCACCTTCATTAGGCGTAGCTCAGTTACCTGCTTTTCACAGGAGAATGGCACTATTATTTTACCAAATGATACACTTTCACACCTGTCGAAAAGCAAGACTCACAAGGACGGAGCTCTACCCAAGGGGCACTCTTTTGTCATAAATTCTTTCTATGAAGTCAGCAGGTTTTTACAATCACTTCCAGCTCCGAAAGCTCGAGAACGAAGTCGCTCCTCTTTTTGGACGAGTTATCGGCGGCAGCATATTTAAAACACTCACTTGCCCACCTAGGTCCACCAGGTAGAATTCAGTCATCATAGCCTTTACATGACTTGTAATATGACGGGACTTTTGATTTAATTCAATATCCGAAACAAGGCACATCGCATCAGAAGGATCCCTTAGGGGGATTTCGCCTAATAAAAAACATTTGTTGTTGTTTTCTGTTTCAGGGAGTCTACACATTCTCTCCTCCTCCCTAGATTAACCACACGGGCTGAACTATTTCTGGTAGATGGTGAAAGATGTCTGCTCACTCTTTTCCCCCTCCCACTCGTTTAACGGCAAAACTTTGGGAACATTCGGTAATGGGGTAGACGAGTTGTGGAGAGGTGTCGTAAGGAAGGGGGTCCTAATTAGCAAAAATTCTTTCCAGCGCCAGTACGAGCTCTGGTAGCGATGCACCGCAGCCCTCTCTCCAATCTGAAGCTGTGAGAACTCACCTAAAAACAGCACCCTGAGATCCAGCGCCAAGCCATTCTAGACCCGTAATCGCTTCGAACGGAATCTCCCAATCGTCTTCTATAGATTTAACCCTGGAAAGAAGATTTGTGCAGATGATTTGAACTTCTTTAACAGACCAATCAATACTTACAAGTCATTATTGCTACGTCCAAAATAGCCCCAAACCGGCCGGAAACACGAGAAAATTCCTTCATATAAAGTACCTGAAATGCGGTAATTATAGTTCGAACTTTGCACTATGGCTGGGAAATCAATAAAATCAATACTCTATTCAGAGTGCTCACTCACCAATTCCAGCCCTATAATAGTTATTATTTAAAGGTTTCCCCGGCGGTGCGACAACACGCGATGCTTCTGAAACATATGATTCTGTCCTGACATATGACATATGATATGACAAGAAGTCGGTAGGACATCCTTTTTACGGACGTTCGCGCATTTAGCGAGGATTTTTTGGGTGGCTGACTCTACGTGTTGTAGCTTTGCTACACTAAGTCTAATTCTGGTGCAAATGCCGCGCACGTGACGCCGCTTGCAACGCCGTTTCCGCCGCGTCGCCGCAAAGTGGATCTCTCAACCGCCAACCCGAAATTACACAATGTCATCTTTCGTATTTTGGGATTTACTCTGGAATGCTCTCGGAATTTTGTGGTCCGTTAGCCTTAGGAAGTTACGTGTCAACTCCGAGGCACATTCCACGATAATGTGACGGGCGGGGACCTGTAACCACTATGCCTTCCCTTTCGACGCCTCTTCCTCTCTATCTTATCAGAATAGGGAAGTACACTACATATAAAAAAGAAGTACACCAATGAGAAAAGCTCAATTGTTGTGAGTCTCCGCCCACTCGGTTATCGCGGATAAGCTGAGTCATGCACGGTCTATAACTCATATCTTATGCCCTCCGGGACGATTTAACGTCATGACAAAAAGTCTCACAACCAGTCACGTACCTGAATTTCCGTTTGCGTCGTGTCTCGCCATACGATGTGCTATGGGTGTATTCGGAGCACTTTGTGTGACCAAAGGCGATGGTAACGCCGCGGCAAAGTTTGCCGGTTCTGGAAATGACGTCATTGATAGGGATATCTTTGTGGTTGTAAAGGGTAGAGTCAGAGAAAAATGAACGGCAAAACATGCCCGTGTTTCCTCTGCATCTCTGTTGGTAATGAGTTAGGCGCAGTTCGGCTTGGTGGGGGCATGGAATAGTACCCAGCTAAGCTTGCACAGGCCACCTTAAAAAACCTGTGCGTTCTTGTGACCAAAGTGGCTCACTTTCATCACCGCGGCCTCACATGAGTTTACAGTCTCACCAAAATCAGACCTGTTATTTGACATGATTTAACAAAATCAACTTGTGAAAATGCAACCCCCTCCAAGCCGAACAGCGAAGCGATTTATGTTAGGAGATGGAGAAATAGATGGAGCGTCGACAAGACAGAGAAAAACACGAAAAAATAGTGTGGAAGAAAGTGTGAGGCGACATGGAAAGAACAGAAACAGGGCGCAGATATTCACTTCAGCTCTGTTATCTTACTTCTATGAGTTTACACTGGTTAAGTATAGAATCGCTAATATTTCCATCCTAATTTGGGCGCTATTCCGGTAAGAGGGGACATTCAAAAGACGTCTCTAAGAACTGGGATCACCCTAATAGAAAAAAACCCGTTTTGCACAAAAGAATCTACCCGTCCAGCCTGTAACTGATTCCAGAAATTCCTGATCCTTCATCGACTTTTCACAACTAACCCTTTGCAGAATGCCCCGTCTTACTGAATAACACTCCGCTTTGTTCAACAATAATATTGTTTGGATTCGAGAAAGTTGAAATTATGATCTAGGTCAATTCCAGTGATATTTTCCATTATCTTTCTACTCAGTTTCCTGATTATTATTCCTCAAGCTAAGCCTCTGAATAAACATTAGACGAGGAGAGTGCGTGGCTTTTCCACAGTTGACCTGCGTCTCTTCGCCAAGCGGCTCTGATTGGTCAACTCCTCGACCACTGGGCTGTTAGTAACCAGAAATTCTTTCTTAACGAGAATTCAGACGAAACAGCGTTTTGTCTCGTTCGCATCATGCGATTTAGAAAGGAAAAATAATGAAAAGGCGCAGTTACTGTGTGTTTATGAGAGAGTGCAGACACCATAACAAAAAAGCCGCCTGGACTTTGTTAATAAAATGCCCGGGGAAGAGGGTGCTGCGAGTAGCGCTTGGGCCAGGGAAAATGTGATTGTAACGTGCTCTTATTTGGAAGGACTGGGAAAAACGCTGGGTAGCTAGAGCGCACGACTCGTGTTTCCTGACCCCTAGGAGCTATAATATTTTGCTCAGAACAAGGAGGCCTGGCTTAATTTTCCAAGGAATGACCGGAAATTTGCAGAACGGGTGACGTCATGGTGCTGCATTTGCGGACCAAGTACCTAGAATTTACGATCAAGCCAGATAAAACTTGCCCTTTACTAGACGATAAGCGGACAGAAAGCTGCCAATAATCGGTCAAATACACCTGCATAATAGGCCGGTGCGTCACAGTGTCTTATCACCGCGAGAAGCTACACGTGTCCCATTGAGTCAGTTTTTGTGCATAATTGCGTCGATACATGATTACTAATTCTACTGTAATTGGTACAAATGATGATTCTTTTCCCCTTTTTTTAGGCAAGATTTCATGCTAATTGCATAGCATGAAAATTGAAAAGAAACCAGGAACGACTTCAGCATTCTGAGACCAAAAAAGCTGTACCTCCCCCCGCCAGTCAGAGCGGGCACACTCGCACGCTCTCGTTTTATTTAAAAGATGACGCCAGACTATCGCAGCGCAGTTCGGCTTACGTGCGGCAACATAATAGTTTTCAGTGGAGCCTGGCCGCAGCCGCTTTTGTGAAGCACGGCTGTAAGTTCTTGTCGAACAAACGTGGCCTCACCTCGTACCCGCTTCGCAGCCTCACAACAGATACAGCCGCCAACCGAAATGATAAGTTACAAGCTATTCAATGCCCCTCCCAAACCGAACACCGCCGTAGAGCTGCTGTACGAGGCAGGCCTATTTGAGAAACTACCCCTTGGCTAGCACTGCGACTCAAAAGATTACCACCAAGACTATGTTTCAGAATGCACGTGCGTTAGCGCAAACCCTGTTGTCACCCGTAACTCCCTCTACCGCCCCCCCCCCCCCCCTTCTCTAGCCCTGTTGACTAAGAGTCCTGCAAAAATTTCTGCAAGAATCACGCCACCCGCCAGAAAGTGCAGTGAGCGCGCTCCGCAGGACCAGTTGTCGGCGCAAAAAAAAGGCGCCGCCTGACCCCGAGAGAATGTGTGGAATTCGGCTGCCATCCAATCGGACTGAAAAAAATGCAAACTACTCGAAGTCTGAATTTCTAACTTTAATTAAGCTTTTTCTGACGAATAAGTACAATTGACGCTTTTTATGTAGTGACCCAATTTTATTTGTGACGTAAATCTGCAGTCTAGTGCAAGGTGAGCTCCGTCCAGCCCTCGGAAAACTTCGTCTGCCCGACGCAATCTCCGCCGGGCATCCTGAAAGGGCTATTTTGAGAAAGTAGTAAGGTTCGATCTCTTGTATTTTGTGGTTTTCCAAAAAATTCATCCACGATGAAGTATAGTTGGTCAGTCTCCAGGTATTCGCTCAAATCTCTCATCTAGTACATATTCAGTGAATGTGATTTTTTCGCACTCAGAATAGCGCGGAATGAGAACTCTATGGGAGCCCTTCCGGATGATTGATCACCTATGTTGAGTTTCTGATCTTTATTGATTCAGTTTTTGCTTTCTATTATTGCTTATCGCCATCTCCATTGGCTCATTTTACTCCATTGGTCGATCAACTAGCTATCGCTATGCACGGGCCAATGTAACAGCATTGCAACTTTTTCGGTAAACAATTCGCAATCATGCTTGAACCCAAAATCCTGTCAGAAATTTTACTTCTTTGACGAAAGGCAGAAGCACGACCCCATTAAACGGATGTCTCATCAGAAGTCGTCTTCTGACAACAGAAGCTGCGGTCCCAAAGGGAAAATGTGACGATAATTGGCGCGATGATACGATGAGGGGGCAAATTTCTGCTTGGCCCGCTCGTCTCAACCGCTGTTACTGCCACGTGTCCAAGTACACGTCGTCCGAGGTTGTTGTGTGTTTTCTTCAGCAGACTCGTTTGTAAAGCGAGAGACGCAGAGAATCAAACGTCAAGGGGAACCTTGCGGAGGGATTACGGTAATTCTGAATAAAGTTAGGCGCGAGTGTATGTGCAAATAGTCAGCTATGACGTCATGCAGCCATCATATCACATCAGCTGGATGAATTGATTGAATCCGAAGGCTTATGGAAGTTGTCTTTCACCCCCTTTTGCTAGAGATTTAGAGAATGCATTTACTGCATTTTTCAAGTGGCCATAGTAAGTGTATTAAATAGTAAATAGTTAATTAATGAGTAATTCAAAATTATGTGAGCCGTTCGGCTTGGAGGAGGCACTAAATGGTACTCAGCGAAGCCTGGGCACAGGCAACCTTGGGAAGACTTGCAAATCCTAGTAGCCCGAGCTTACTTGCGCCGTTTCGCAGCCACAGCGGTTTACAAGTCACATCAAAGGGTAACGTGCTGTTTGGTCTATTCTACGAAAGAAAATTAAAAGTAATGGGCGTTGCGCGTGGGGGGAGGGATGGTGGCCGTCGCTCGGCCAGGTCAATGGTAAAAGGGCGGAGTGCGTGTAGCCAAACGCCTTCCTCGGCAAGCCCTTCCGCCATTCCACTCTGGTAGTAATACGTGTTCTTAAGGTTCAATAGAGAGGGTTGAGGTGTAAGTCTAAAAAGTGTAGAGTCTGAGCTACATGAGGTCAGAACGGGGCGATACTATACCAGGAGCCAAATCCTTGGAAAGGGGTACAGAAACGGTTTGATTGGGTGAGCAGCGCGCGCAGCAAGGTTTCGAGGAAAAGGGAACGCAAACGTGCAGGGTTCTTCTCCGGCACTGGTGCTAAGATAGCTTCCTCGTCCGATCTTGGGAAAGTTCCGAAGCTGACATGCTAGAAATCGTGAGATTGCGGTCCTTTGAATGCGAATGTTTAATCGAATTAACAGGTACGGTGAGTCGTAATGTCGCGAACGTCGGATTGGGCGTTTATTGAGTTTTTGCACAGAGAAAATCAGCTCAAGTGGTTTTCCCACATCCGAGCCAGGCTTTGGCCCCTAGACACAGCGCAGTCAGAAATTTTGCCGCATGTCTAATGCGTTATCCAGCGTCAAATAAGGTAAACAAAGGGTCAGGAGTTGTTGTGTGGAACCCGATGCGCCTGGGACAAAACTGGGGCTTGGTGAGATCTGGGCAATTTCAATGCCATCTGGGATGCTGGATGGAGATAAACTTGTTTTATCTTATTTTATTTCATTGGACTGATAAAGCTGGAACTAGCAAGGAAGGACCTGGAGAGGAGGACCTTGAGTGCATGGGGATCTTCATTCGGGAGGACATCGTACTAATGGGGGAATCCCGCTACTTGGGCTAAAGATCCATTGGTACTGCTGGCACTGGCAACAAAAGGATCTGTACGAAGCCCATTGTGAGGAAAAACTAACCAGCTGTTTGGCGCCATCTGGTGGCAGCTACACGTCCATGACACATGGTGGCGTGACGCGTCTTTCCCGACAGGATACGTCGTCGACCTTTCCTTTGGGATGCTTTTTTCGATTATTTGAAAGCTGTTTCTGGCAGAGAAGCTGAAGGCACCAAAGTTCCGCGATCCGGACGAGTTATCAGGCTTGGAAAACGCGTCACATGACATATTATGACATGTCAACACAACTGGATCTCATTATACGGACGCAGGATGAACCCCTCTGACCAGTTGAACTCGACGTCTGGCACGCTAACTCGTCCAAATCGGAAATCTTATTATGAAAAATGTTGGATCTCTCACTGTATTCCATTGCTATATGCGATTCTTCTGGAATGGGAACCCACCCGGAAGGTCTTTATAATTTGCTTTACTGGTCTTTATAATCTCCAGAGTGAAGCAAGGAATCTGGCGAACGGTTCCAGGTCACCTCGGATATTCTCCA